CTGATGGCAGGCCAGCCCCTCACCATCCTTAGCAGCACGGGGCCAGTGCTAGTGTTTGAGCGCCTGCTCTTTTCTTTTAGCAGGTAGGAGACCTCTCTCACCTTTCTAGCCCGTTGATGGGTGAAGAGGAGAGGGTGAGGGCTTTCTCTGCCCTGGGTTAAGTGGGGAACAGTCAGCTCTGACCGTCCTCACTCCCACAGAGATCACAGCCTGGACTACTTGCCCTTCCGCCTATGGGTGGGCATCTGGGTGGCCACGTTTTGCCTGGTGCTGGTGGCTACAGAGGCCAGCTTGCTGGTGCGCTACTTCACCCGATTCACAGAGGAAGGATTCTGTGCTCTCATCAGCCTCATCTTCATTTATGATGCCGTGGGGAAAATGCTGAACTTGATCCGTGCCTATCCAATCCAAAGGCAAGGATCTCCTGCCCAGGGCTGCTTCTGTCAATACCCAGGCCCAGGAGGTGAGGGAAACTGGTACCTTGGCCAGGTGAGGAAAGAGGTGGGAAATGGACTAAGTTCAGGAAAATGCTGAGTACTTATCCAATAGCCAGAAGTTTCTGAACCTTTCTGGTTCAGGATCAGTTACAAAATAAATCCACGGAAATCCCAGGACTATCTTTATTTCTGACAGCCCTGACAGAAGAGTATGGCTTCTAGACATGGGCTACTGGGCTTCCTAAGAGGGAAGTCAAAATTAGACATACCCATCCAAGAATGGCAGCACTGGATGGGGAACTGGTTACGCCAGAGGAGCAGAGCTAAATACACCAACCAGGTGGCTTACTCTTGAGAGAAGAGAGGAAAGGTCAGGACCAGGCATGCCTGTCTCACTCCCTAAAGTCACCAAATAAATCACATCCCGAGTGAAAGCAGATAACTAGGTGCAGGGTTTGGGGTATCACACTTGCACAGATCCCTCCAAATGGAAGGTGGCATCAGGAATGGGGAAGTTGTCCTTTGTGGGAAGGTCTCCAGGGTGAGACAAGGTCTCATGTAGCCCAGTATAGTCTCCAACTGACTATGTAACCAATGATGACCTTGAACTCCGATCCTCCTGCCTCCATCTTCAACTGCTGAGAGTAGAAGCGTGAGCCATCAACTATCTAGCTAAAAATGTACCTTTTCTAATCTGTATCTGATTCTACTAGTCCTGAATGAGACCACTTCTTGCTCCGGTACACACAGATCTGGGAACTCATGCATTTGGTCAATGTTTGATGAGCAAGTGTTGTGGCTCAGTTTTGTGCTCAGCACCAGAGGCACAGATGGTAGGGAATCCGAGGGTGTGAGTGTATGGAGTAGCAGCTTGAGAACACTCTTAAGTGCAACAGAATCAGCAGAATGGTCAGAATCAAGAACTTTCTAGTTCAGGTGGAAGAACAAATTAGAACCCTGTGGAGAAAAGCTTCTCAAGGAAAGAGGCTTACACTACAATTCTCTGCTTCCCAGGAAATGCATCGGAGTGGACAAGTACAAAGCACAAAGACACAGATGTCTCAAGCGTGGTGAGTGCCTGCGCCTAGAAAGGTCTGAGAAAGAAAAAGAGTTAGAACTCTTCAGCTCTTCCCACCCACAGAGGAAAGAAAGCGTCATTGGTTTCTTGAATTTTGCCTATGGCCAATCCTGGGTTCCTGATGTCTCCGTGGGTTCCCCTTCCTTTGAGGTGGCTCCAGGAGAGTGGGACACTTCCTCTGTTGCCCACTGTCCAATACCTTCCCACTCCTCTCTGCAGCACCTAGGCTTGGTCAATGCATCCTTGCTGTCTCCGTCTGAGTGCATCCGGCAAGGAGGCTACCCTCGAGGTCCCAGCTGCCACACGGTGCCAGACATTGCCTTCTTCTCCCTTCTCCTCTTCTTTACATCCTTCCTTTGTGCCATGGCCCTCAAGCATGTAAGGAATAGCCGCCTCTTCCCCTCTGTGGTGAGTGCCATTTTCCCTTTCTGTGTGAAAGGTCTGGTTTTGGCCCTGGATCCTGATTGCAAATGGGAAAAGTTAAAAAAGAAATGGAATGGCAGGCCCAGAGTAAACCATCCACTGTATGGCCAGGTGCGCAAGGTGTTCAGCGACTTCTCCTCAGTCTTGGCCATCCTGCTAGGCTGCGGCCTTGATGCTTTTCTGGGCCTAGCCACACCGAAGCTCTTGGTGCCCACAGAATTCAAGGTGAGAGCTGGACAGAAGGAGGAAGGAGAAGGGGGATGGTGGGGTCAGCAACTTTGGAGTAATAAGATGTATAAATTCCATACTTCTCTTCCTCTGAGCCCTTTCCTTCACTCATGATAAAGACAGTAAAAATAATGGTCTCACAGAGTCGTTGAGTGATAAAAAGAGGTATTTCAACAGACATGAAAGGAATGAAGAATGCTGTATACAGTCGCTATTATTATAGGGTAGGTGTTGGAGGATGGGATCTGGGCAGCAGGCTTGAGTTTGAATTTCATTTCTGCCTCTTCCTAGCTGGCTCTAGGCATCTTTGTTTGGAGACAGAGTCCCCTGTAGTTCAGATTGACCTCAAATTCCCTACACAGCTGAGGCTGGCCTTGAACTCTTGATCCTCCTTTTTTAACCCTCTGTATGCTATGATTTCAGGCATGCATCACCATACCTCCCCTGAGAATTTTAGTCTATAAAAATGGGATAATTGATAGCTGTTTTCCCATAGGCTGTTTTGGGATTTATATATCATAGTGTAGTTACTACAGTGCTTGGCACAGATCACATACTCAGTAAATGCTGTTACGGCTTCTCCCTGCCATGGACATGGCCCTGCCCACTTCCACACACCCTACTCTTCTTTACACCCCTCACTGCCAACTCTGATTCTGTAAAGCCGGAGCTCCTTCTGTAGGGCAGGATAGTGTCCAGTACCAGACTTTGCCTCAACAAAAGGAAATTTTTCCCCCTAGATCCCGCCAGGGCAGGACAGCAAGGGGGTTCTAATGGGGGTGTTTTTAAGGTTCAGAACCCCAACCAATCACCTGGGCCCCCTCCCCACCACAGACGCTTATAATCAGAGCAGACGCAGACACACCTAACCCTGCCCCACCTCTGCCCCAGACCAAGGCAGGTCTGAACCTGAGCTGCTCCATTCTGGATGGGGGGTGGGGTGGGGTGTGAATCCAAGGAGGAAGGCTGTGAATAAGAATAAAGCAGTGTGTGCAGGCTATATTCACCAACTCTTCTTCTAGAGAGAACCAAAATCCAGAGCCCTTGGCTCCATTCAGATTAGTCCCTTCTTTCTTTCTGCTCTTTTAAGGCACTGGGATACATGGAAGGAGGAGTGTGTGTGTGTGTGTGTGTGTGTGTGTGTGTGTGTGTGTGACAGTGCTCCCACCTAGAATTTAATGTCTCGGGAGGAGGAGGTAGAGTGCCAAGGTGGGAGTAGAGGTGTGCAGGTGAGGTGTTCTGGGAGACATTTTCCAACCTATCTATGGAATGTCCCCTCAGCCTACACTCCCTGGGCGTGGTTGGCTGGTGTCTCCTTTTGGAGCTAATCCCTGGTGGCTGAGTGTGGCAGCTGCCCTGCCTGCTCTTCTGCTGTCTATCCTTATCTTCATGGACCAGCAAATCACAGCCGTTATCCTCAACCGCGCAGAATATAGACTGCAGGTAAGGTTGCCAGGTCAGGTCCTAAACAAGAGAAAGAAACTCCAGAGTCAGGTCCATATGGCACTTCTAGCTTCCAATCAACTCCCTTTTCCTGCAGAAGGGAGCTGGCTTCCACCTGGACCTCTTCTGTGTAGCTGTTTTGATGCTGCTCACATCAGCACTTGGGCTGCCCTGGTATGTCTCAGCCACAGTCATCTCTCTGGCCCATATGGATAGTCTTCGGAGAGAGAGCAGAGCCTGTGTCCCTGGTGAAGCCCCTCACTTCCTGGGCATCAGGTAAAGAATATAATCAGTAGGCTGGAGTGAGAGGAGTGTGGCACATATGGTATGTGTGAGTTATTTGGACAGCTTGAGTTTAAGCCCTGTAAGAACTGCAGCGGGGAAAGTTGGTGCCTCTGAGGTGGGCGAGGGGCCTCAAGAAGAACATTATACAGGTGGTGGTGGCACACAACTTTAATCCCAGCATTGGGAGGCAAAGCAAGCAGATCTCTGTGAGTTTGAGGCCAGCCTGGTCTATAGAGTGAGTTCCAGGACAGTCAGAGCTACACAGAGACATCCTGTCTTGAAAAACCAAACCAAACCAAACCAAACCAAACCAAACCAAACCAACCAACCAAACAAACAACCAACCAAACAAACAAACATTAATCCCGACCCCAGAAAGAAGAACATTATACATGTAAGGGCTAAAGTGGAGAGTGAGGCGCCACCTACTAACAGTCCTCACTCAATGTAGAAGCATACCACGGACACTGCAAAAGAATCCATGACAAAAACAATTGTGTAGTCATTGGAAAAAGAGTCTACCTGAAATGCATGAAACTGACTAACTTCATAAATTATGAAATGCAATTCTTTATGGCAGTGGAAACTGTTAATTTCCCACCAAAATAAAAAACAAACTATGGAATTGGGGATGGAATTCAGTGGTAGTGCTCACCTAGTACATATGAGGCCCTAGTTCAATTCCTAGAACCACTAAAACAAACCTCATGACTTCCTGGGCCCTGGGTGGTAAAAGAAAGAACTGAGTCCTTCAAGTCGTCCTCTGATCATCACATATACACCAAGACAGGCACATACTTACGTACATGCATGCACATACACGGTATAAATAAGTAAAATGTAATAGAACATTTTTAAAAAACCCAAACGGAACAGAAGAATGAACCTGACAGATGAGAGGCCCAGCGCCCATGCTGCAGTGCTTTGCCTTTCCTTTCAGTTCCGACAGCAGGCAAGGGGCCTTTGCCAGGTGACCTACGGAGGGAATCCCTCCTCTCCTCTCTGGATCCTCCAGGAGCACACTTAGACGCAGCCACTTCTTCCTTCTCCCCACAGGGAGCAGAGGCTGACGGGTTTGGTGGTGTTCATCCTTACAGGCGTCTCCATCTTCCTGGCACCTGTGCTCAAGGTACATGTTTGGCCAGGATCAGGGCCAGTGCAGCAATAACAACAGAACTGACTCTGCTTGAATACTTCAGTGTTTTAGGAACTGCATTTTCTTCTCACATGGTTTCAATGATCTTTGTGCTCTACAAATGAGAAACCTGAAGGTTAAAGATGTAAAGTAACTTGCAACTGCTCACCAATTTCTCAGATTAAAAAACCCAGACTTTCAGAGCATGGTGGATTATACCTGTAATCTCAGAGCCAAGAGGTTGAGGCAGGAGGCTTGCTTCAACTTTGAGGCCAGTCTGCATATACAATAAATTGTAGAACAGCTTGGGCAATAGTGTGAGACTCTATTCAAAAGAAACAAAAAAGTGGTGGTGGTGTGTGTCTGAGATGGCTCAATGAATAAAGGTATTAGCTAACAAGGCTGAAGGCCTGAATCTGATATTGGGCCTAGGTCTACAAGATGGAAGCAAAGAACTGATTCCAAAACGTTCTTCTCTGTTCTCCATACTTGTATACACACACACACACACACACACACACACACACACACAGAGAGAGAGAGAGAGAGAGAGAGAGAGAGAGAGAGAGAGAGAATGTAATAACAATAGCAACAAAAGAAACCAAAATAGACCAGACACTTAGGTGGTAGAGGGTCAGGAGTTCAAGTTCAAGGCTAGTCTCACTTATACAGTAGGTTTGAGACCATCTTGGTCTACCTGAGATATTTAAAAATATAAATATTTTAAAAAATGTACCTAATTTCTTTATTTTTATTTTATTTTATTTTATTTTTTTTATTCCCTCCCTTCCCTGTACCTAATTTCTTAACCAGTAGGGTTTCTGTTCTGTGGAGTGGGACAGGGGGATGCCATCATCCCCAGGGTTCTAGAACTGTCCTTGTTCCAGTCTCTCAACAAGCTAAGACTATGTATGTATTCATATCCCAGAGAAACTTCAAAGCAAAAAAACATTTACTCTTTCTCAAGGCTTATGAAACTTCTGCTGGGTTCCCCACTGTGCTTGGTGCCTAAGAGAGGAGAGGAGAAGTACTGAAAAGGAATAGGAAACCAAACTTTACCAGAAACTTCTCACATACACACACACACACACACACACACACACACACACACACACACACACCCTATATAACTAGCTAGCTATAGAAGAAAAGGTCAACAAACCAAGTAGCAAAGTAGTCAAGGAGGGTGTGGAAATGTCAGACAAGAGTCACTGGCAGAAAGACAAGAGCCGGAGGTTAGGCAGGGCCAAGGTCATGGAGGCTGGGTAAGAGTACTGCAGTAAGTAGGAGAGCCAGATGGACTGGATTAACCACTTGCTAAGTAGGTTGACTCTCATAAATGGTATACCAGCCACTGTTCCAGGAACTGGAGGTGAGGTATATGGGGCGATAACATATGTCTTCATCCTCCTTGGAGTCTGGTGATAGAGGACAGGTCTTTAAAAGTTAAAGCAATAGGATGACTTCGGATGATAACTTCTGTGAAAAAATGAAAGTGGGGAAGGTGATTAAGAGTGCTAGGGCAGGTCTGGCAAGATGGTTCAGTGGGCAAAAGCTTCTGCCATACTAGACTGATGACTAACCTGAGTGCAGTCCCTAGAAACCATGGTGGAAGGAGAAACCCACCCCCACAAGTCCATCTTTGACCTCCATACGCAAGCTGTCAAACACATGTAATAATAGTAGTAACTAAATATTTTTAAAATTTACAAACAGTTCCAGGCCTACTTCAGATTGAGTAGTCAGAGAAGACCTTTCCATAGTGAAATGGGATGAAGCATGAGTGAATATAAAGTCCAAGAGAGAAGTATTTGATTGATTTGTTGGTTGGTTGGTTGAGACAGGGTTTCACTGTGTAGCCCTGCCTATCTGGAACTTGCTACATAGACCAAGGTGGCTTTGAATTTATATACATTTTCCTGCCTCTGCCTCCCAAGTGCTGGATCACAGGTGTGTGTCATCATGCCTGGGCATGAGGAACATTTTAGGAGGAAAGAACTGCAAAGGAAAAAATCTTGAAACGGCAGTACATGAATGGAAAGTGGAAGGATATGGGATCATGGAGAGCAGGGGGCCATGTGATGGTAAGACAAGAGGAGCCTGGATATGGTGGTACAATGTGATCCCAGCATTCAGGAGGTCAGAGCAGGAGGATGTAGAGTCTTAGGGCAACAATACTGGATGGAATAAAAAGATTGGAGAGGTAAGAGAGGAGAGGTATGGGCAAGTCACTTCGTCTTTAGTTCCTCATCGGTAAGTGCAGACAATAATAACAATCTACTTCATGTGACTGGCATGAAAAGACTCAGTGAATCAGGTATGCGGGATGTGAAAAAAAAAGAAAGGCCTGGCAGGCTCCAGTCTGAAGGTCTAAGGTGGGGCACCTGGGAGGCTGGAAGGTAAAAGCTCCTTTGCTATCTCTCTACTTCTACTAGTTCATCCCAATGCCTGTGCTCTATGGCATCTTCCTGTACATGGGGGTAGCAGCACTCAGCAGCATCCAGGTGAGCTCATTACAATCACCTAGCAACCTCGCTCCTCCTCCCCACTTTTGCCAATCTCCCTCATGTCCATTATCCCCCTTCTCCTGGACATAGGCACTCTGCTGCCATGCTCTAGATGGAGAGGCCAAGGGAGCCTTCTTCCCTTCCCCTTGCAGGGCGTAGCTAACATTGGCACCCTCCAAATTAACCCCATCATCCTGCCTTCTTTTCCTCTCATTCTCCCAGTTCATGAAGAGAGTGCAGCTATTGTTGATGCCAACAAAACATCAGCCAGACATGCTGCTCTTGCGGCATGTACCTCTGAGCAGAGTCCACCTGTTCACGGCCATCCAGCTTGCCTGCCTGGGTCTGCTTTGGATAATCAAGTCTACCCCTGCCGCCATTATCTTCCCACTTATGGTAACCTGGAGTTCTGAGAGACTCTGAGCTTGGAGGGTGGCTGAAAAATACTCCTCTCTCTTACTTTCCCTGGCTCTTTCTGGTTGAAAATCTTAAGACCAAGAAAATGGCTGGGGGATACTTATAGATGAACTAGCCCTAGGACTCTTGACTCACCAACCTTCCTAATTAATTTGGTCTTGTCCACAACCCCCCGCCCCCACAAATAACTGAGCTCCTGCAAGGGCAATGCTGACACTTTTGTTACTCAGTGAGGCACAGAAGAGGAAGTTAAGAGCCACAGGCCTTGCAATAGGATCAATCTGGTTACCACGTACCAGGTGTGTGACCTCAGGGGCGTCACTAATCTCTTGGGGCTTCAGTTGCCTTTAATGTACAGTGGGAGTAAACTGCAAACTGGGTATAGTGGTTTTTGCTTGTAACCTGGTACTTGGGAGGCTGAGGCTGATCAAAGTGAGATCCTGCCTTAAAAAAATCAAAACAAAATGAAAGTGGATGTGGTGGTGAACACCTGTAATTCTCAGGAGGCAGAGACAGGGGGATCACCACAAGTTCAAGGCCAGCCTAGTCTACATACGAGTTCCAAGCCAATCAGAGCTATCAGCTACCATAGTGAGAACATGTGTCAAAAAAAAAACCAAAAAACAAAACCAAAAAACAACCAAATAAAAAAAGCTAAGCATGATGGTGGGTGATGCACACTCGTGATCCCAACACTAACCCTTGAGAGGCTGAGGATCAGGAACTCAAGGCCATCCTTAGCTACATAGCAAATTCAAGGCCAGCTACATAAAACTTTATCTCAAAAACAAAGCAATATCAAACAAACAAAAAGGGTCTACTTCATAGAACTGTGTTATTATTTCATTCAGTGAAATAATAGGAAGCGTGACTGCTAGTCCCAGCGGCTGGCTATTGCTGAGAGCCCTGGGGCTTGTTTCTGTTTCTGCAGTTACTGGGCCTCGTGGGAGTCAGAAAAGCTCTGGAGTGGGTCTTTTCACCACTGGAACTCCTCTGGCTGGATGAGCTCACGCCAGAGGAGGAGAAGAACATCCCTGAGAGTGGACTGGAGCCAGAGCACTCGTTCAGTAGAGATGGCAATGAAGATGTAAGCTCCAGGCCGAGTCCTTCTAAGAGAATGGGGAGGAGTCGAGAGACTGTTGTCAGAGCTGTCTCTAAAGTCTGGAATCTCATTCAACCTCAAGACCTCAACACAGTCGTTCCCTTTGTCTCTGTAATAATACAGGCAGAGTGAAGGGCTTAGGGAAATCTTCCCCACAGGCAGTTCTGGTTTATGAGCCCACGGAGATAAAGAGAGAAAGGCATACAGCTCTGTGAGCATCTTCTCAACCCTGATCTTTGTTTTGTTTTGAATGTGAATTCCTATCTAGTTCCTTAGCCCCTTATTTCGGCTTATTTCTTTTTCTTTTTGTCTGTTCCCAAACTATCTTTGAATTTTCCCCCACAGTCAGAATTGATGTATCAGCCAAAGACTCCAGAAATCAACATCTCTGTGAATTAGCTGGAGTCAGAGTGTGGAGACCCCAGGAAACGGACACAGGTGAGAGTGTGGGACAAAGTAAGTGCTCCTGGTGATGAGGGAGGAAGGTGTGGGATCAGACCTTGAAACCTCCTGTTTGCTGGATGGATATCCTTGCCGGTCCCTCGAGAATTCTGGAATTGTGGAGGAAGTAGAAGGAACCTCCCCAGAGGAAAAAATTCCCAGGGGCAGTTCTGAATTTTTGCCAGTAGAGGGAGTTCAAGCTTATTCCAAACAGATCGCAGGAGTGGGAGATGCAGAGAGGAGGAAGAAGGACTGAAATGCCCAGGAGAGAAGACTGGGAGGGAGGAGGGAAGAATAAAAGTTATACCTCCCTGAGGGCTGGTAAGAACTGTGTTTCCTCCAGACAAGTGGAGGGTTCTCTAGCCCTTGCTCTCTAGCCTTTCATTTTATTCACCCACGTAGCACTTCTGATTTATATCAATATAGAAGAGACAAAACAATCATAGCCCCTGATCTCAGGAAGCTTAAATTGGAGTGGGAGAAACAAAAACATGGACAACTTTTGTTGTTGTTTTGTTTTTTCGAGACAGGGTTTCTTTGTGTAGCTTTGGAGCCTGTCCTAGAACTCACTCTGTAGACCAGGCTGACCTTGAACTCACATTGCCTCTGCTTCCCAAGTGCTGAGACTAAAGGCATGTGCCATCACCG